TCCCCCCGAGGTCAATGAGAAGCGTGTCGAGTTCGGTCTGAGGATTCTTCCTAAGTTTTGGGGCCAGGGTTACGCAAAGGAGGGTTCCCGAGCGGTGGTGAAGCATGGTCTGGAAGATCTCGGGGTGGAGGAAGTTTTCGGCGAGACCATGGCTGTGAACCAAGGCTCGCGGGTTATCATGTCAAAGATTGGGCTCAAGCATGTCAGGACATTCCACAACAAGTACGACAACCCTCCTCCTGGTATTGAGGAGGGAGAAGTGGAATACCGAGTTACAAAGGACGAGTGGTCATCGCAACAAGTTTGCGCGGCATAGTGTAGGCTCTGGGAAATTACGAAAATAGTAAAACATCTAAACAACATCAATATTGAATAATTGAGCGATTTGATATTATAAATTCTGTTCATTTTGTTTTACTGTGACATCAATTTCAAATCGGGGAGTGCTATGGCGTAGTTCTATACACCACTTTAATTGAATGATATTTGTCTACATTATATGTTCAAATGAATAACTGAAATGATACAGAAATAAAATCGAGTTCATTCTAATTACGAATCTACCGATCATCTGGAACTTGGTGGATATGGTGTAGGTATCATGCGGTGGATGAGAATCCATCTCGGCCTGCAGAGAAGGACGCATGATTATGGAACAAGTGGGTTATATCGCGCATACATGCAACATTCGGCGTTGGCAAAGGAAGATGCAGTTTTAGCGGATAGTAAAGTCGGCATATTCCGCGTGACAGAATTGGAAACGAACCGAGACATTCTACTCGATTATCGCTCGGCTCAAGAGTCACCCCCTTGCTCTGTAAAGTGTAAACCCGATGGACCGAAGCACAATTTCTGATTCGGTCACCCGGGATTAATCGCTTGACAGGACTCAGATTTCCCAATTAGTTTATACTTCCGGAGGATTTTATCGTCTTAACTCGTGGAACCTGGTCATGTCACAACCTGAACTTTATCACGGGTGTCCAAGACAATGTTCCGCACCAAAAGTGGACTTTCGTCTCACAAAGGAAGCACGAACTTAAAGCATATTTTTTTACCCAAGACCTAATGCATCTTCTTATTAGTTCAGGTAAAGATAAGGCATGTTCTATAATATGTAGCTTCTGCTAGTTATAGTGGACTCGGATGATCCCAAGCCTATGCCAAGCCGCCAAAATGTGGCCAGACTTGCCAGGGTCCCGTAATCAGATGGCAGGCGTTGTAACCAACAACATCAACAAGTGTTCTCTGAGAAGATTTCTTTTATTAAAAATCGATAGACCCACATTAAGTGTAATATTGCGTTGCGTAACCGTTGATGCCAGGTTATAGCAGAGTTATTCTGGTGACGGTTTAGCTTGGGGTGAGACCACTTGGCATGACATGGCATATGAAGCTGTTGACAGTTGGATCTTATCCATCAATCAGATTAGATTAAAAAAAAAAAACCTCACTCCCTCCTTCAATCCCTCCCCTGGCCTTCCGATCTCGGGTAGTTTTACTCTTTCCCCCACTCCTTTGCCACTAATAATCTGATGTTGCCTCTGATTTAACTGCCCTGTTGGTAGACCCGTTATGGAGACTGTCCCATTGAGGAAAAGACCAACTGAACCCATCAGTTCAGATTCAGCCCCAAGAGACTATCCTTACTATAGCTCCTTGGCTTGACGTGAATGTGAAGTTCTTTCCCGCTCAGCTCCGAGGGCAAGGCACAATCGATGGGCAGTTTGCAGGGGATATTTCCGAGAAGAGGGACACGTCCGAGTAGGAACAGAACCAACACATGGTAAAGAAGAACTTTACTTTGAACGGCTGTATCCTTCGTCCGATAGCTTAGTAGTTATCTGCCCATGCCATGTCAGGGTTACATTGCACTACATAAAGAATGCTGTAGCTCCCTCTCCATCCCAGACTCCCCTTCTCGGTTCTTAGTTACTCTTCACTTCACTGTCTCGGGTGTGTTGCAGCCTCAATCATATATCACTGCACTATCTGTTAGTATCGGTGGCAAGCTCAACAGCAGCAATGTCAGCCCTGGCAAAGATACGTGAGGGTCTCGCCCGTGAGGATAACACTCACGTTGCTGGGACTCTTGCTCCTCACGAGAAGGAGATCCATGAGACTCCCGAGGTCGTCAGCGAAGTTAGTCCTGATCATGACAAGGAAGCCACTGCTGGTACTCTCCCACCTCATGATAAGGGCAACGACTCTGATGTTCCCAGTGAGGATGTTCAGACTGGTGTCAAGGAGATCCAGGCCATCACCCTCACTTGGGGCAAGGGATCTCTGGCCGCTCTTCTGTGTCTGTAAGTTTGCGTTTATCGAGACCAGATACTATTCAACAACAAAAATACTAACAACTATCGACAGCATTTGGACTCTATTCCTCATCAGCGGTTTCCGTGGTTCCTTCTATCTCGTACTAGTCCCCTATGTTACCAGCGAGTGGCAGTCTCATTCCCTCATGACCACCATCCCCATCGTATCAGACGCTATGACCGCAGCATGCTACATCCCCATGGCCAAAGCTCTCGATGTCTGGGGTCGCGCCGAAGGTTTCCTACTCATGAGTGGCTTTGCCACTCTTGGTCTTATCCTCATGGCCGTTTCCCAGAACCTCGCCACCTTCTGCGCTGCTCAGGTCTTCTACTCTGTCGGCTGGGGAGGCATGATCTATGCTGTGGGTGTGCTCGCTGCCGATGCTTCTAACCTCAGGAATCGAGGTTTGGCTTTCGCCTTTACTTCTTCTCCTTACATGATCACTGCTTTTGCTGGTTCCAAGGCCGCCGCTGCCTTTGTCGTTGATGTCCAGGACTGGCGATGGGGTTTCGGCTGGATCGCTATCGTTCTGCCCTGTGTCACAATCCCTCTTTTCCTTGTCCTCAAGGTCAACCTGCGCAAGGCATTCAAGAATGGTACAGTTACCAAGACCACACGAAGCCGTGGCTTTGTTGGTAGCATCTGGTGGGCTTTCAACGAGTTCGATGGTAAGCATTTCATATCTAACCTCTGATAACATCTCAATGTTAACAGTAATATAGTCATCGGAATCTTCCTCTTCGGCGGAGGCCTCGTTGTCTTCCTTCTCCCATTCAACCTCGCGGCCCACGCCCCCAACGGCTGGAGCACCGACTACATTATCGCCATGATCGTCGTTGGCTTCTGCACCCTCATCTTCTTCGGTGTTTGGGAGTACTGGCTGGCCCCTGTCCCCTTCCTCCAGGGCCGTTTCCTTCTCGATCGATCCGTCGTCGCCGCTTGCATGATCGACCTGACATACCAAATCTCCTACTACACCTGGAACTACTTCTTTACTTCCTTCCTACAGGTCGTTGTCAACCTCGGCCCTGCTGAGGCTGGATACGTCAACTCCACTTTCCAGGTCGTTTCTGGTGTGCTTCTCTTCATCGTCGGCTTCCTCATTCGAAAGACCGGTTTCTACAAGTGGACCTTCTACTTCGCTGTCCCCATCTACATTTTCGCTCTCGGCCTCATGATCCATTTCCGTGCTCCCAACCAGTACGTTGGATACATCATCATGTGCGAGATTTTCATCTCCATTGGCGGTGCGGTCTTCATCTTGGTTATGCAGCTCGCTGTCCTGGCTGCCGTCGCCCACCAATATATTGCTGCTGCGCTCGCTACGCTATACGTCGCTGGAGGTGTCGGCGGTGCCATTGGAGGAGCTATCTCAGGTGCCATCTGGACAAACACTTTTATCCCTCAGCTTTTGAAGAGACTGCCCGAGTCTGAGGTGGCCAATGCAACTCTCATTGCAGGAAGTATTGTGAACCAGCTTGCATACCCCGTCGACAGTCCTGCTCGACTTGCTATTCAGGAGTCGTACGGCTTTGCCCAGGTCAGAATGCTTGCTGCCGGCGTTGGCATTGCTTCTCTGTTCTTCATCTGGGTTCCCATGCTGAGGAACATTGATGTCAAGAAGCTCAAGCAGACTAAGGGTCTTGTCCTCTAAACAACTCGACGAAGGTTTCAGAACATTAGCATGCCCGACTTTATATTGTAGTTGGGCGGTAATTATCACCGTGTCGAAGAGTGAGAGAACACGATAAGATATTGTTTGATATATTGGTAAATGATTAGGTAAATGGTACGTTGGCGAAAAGTAATGCACACGAGTTTCAATTCGCTCACACTATCGTATTATGAGTGAAGGATCCAAGAAGTGTATCTGTGCTTTGTCTGCCCACATCTGTGAATTTGTTCCCATACAGGCTATCGTACAAGCCAAAGCCCATAGCCTCCCCTCAAGGTATTGTAAAAGTCAGCAGCTGGAAATATAAGAGACTAAACTAGTCAGTTTATGCCATACAGACCGGACTTGGGTTATGTATTCTTATGTTCTGAAGCCTAGAGGTTAGCTTTTTTGTTACCTGCTCACACAGCTCCCGGGCATGCTCTAAACACAAACACCTGGTTAGTGTTTGAACCAGCTTGGCGACTATACATATGGTTATGTTTGGTCGTGCCCTGTTGGTTATCACAACAATACAAAGAATCACCAGTGTCATCGATCGCTCTAATACGTGTTGTTCAAACGGGCATGACTTTCGTACGCATTCAACGTTGATCGTTATATACATAACCAACTGAAACCCCATCGGATAGCCCAGCCACTAGACGCTTGCTTTTTCAGCGAGTCTCCGATACGGATACATCATCAAGCGAAATACATCTAGGAGATAGCCACACATGCCCAAGTTGTCCGCCATATCAACGAATGTTAAAGATCATCAATGTATTCATTGCCGTCAAATGTGCTATGAAAGCAGATTTTAACACCATCTTCAGATCATATCAATCCTAGTGCTGCCGCCTCAGCCACCATATGTAACCTGTTCCGCTGCCGTTTCAGCTCGAACGTACCTTTTCTTCGGATCGTTATCCTTTCCCAAAATTGTAAATAGAAAATGCCCTGCCAACGCCGGACACCTCGATGCCCATCCTTTACTGGACGTAGCGCGCTTGTCTTGGACGCGGACTTAGTAGACCTTCTTCTTCTCGTCGATGCTGAACTGGCCTGGGCCGCTGTTGACGAGGAGTAGGAGTCCACCGACGATAGACAGGATCTGGAAGAAGTCGTACTTGGCAAAGTCCTTGTGGGGGTGGTGCTCGTGGAGCTAGATGGTTTATTAGCTTTCTTCGTGGAACGTAATTGTCGCGAATCGTAACTTACAGTCCAGAAGTTGTTGACCAACAAGTTGAAGATGCTCAGAATGACAACGAGCAGAGTGGCGCTGTACTTTGCCTTGAATCCAACGACAACCATGACGCAGGAGATGCCACCGAGTGAGGAGACAATGACGCGCCAGAGCGACCACTCGCCACTGAAGACAAATCCAATGAAGAGGAAGATCAGGAGGACACGGCCAGCCAGCTGGAAGTACATCTTGCGATCCTTCTCGTCGATCTGGGGAAGACCTGCAAAGACCTGAGTCTTGCGCACCCACGAATCGGACAGGACCATGACCAGGCCACCAATGACAGAGAGGTTTCGGAGGAAGAAGTTAAGATCGAAGATGAGACCGTAACCAAGAGCTTGGGTGACGACAACGCCCATGAGACCGGCGACGGCGTAGTCGGAGTGCTTTCGGATGATGACCAGGGTGGAGCAAGAGAACATGGCGATGATGTTGACAAGCAGGAACAGGTGGGTAATACCAGAAGGAACTGTCAAATGTTAGTCAGAATAACCAAACCAGCCTTTCCCACTTCTCGGGGCAGAGGCGCATCTTACTGTGACGGTAATCTTTCAGGTAAAGCAGCTGGTCGGACCATTGGGTGACGATACGGAGAGCATCCTCAAAGAAGGTGACAACGATCAGGAAACGGCCAATGGCAGGGAGATAGCTGTCAACGGGGACAAAGGTCAGCTCTCAGAGCTCCAAACGCGCTTGCAAAGGACGTCGCTCGACTCACGGCTTGACAGGCTCGCTGATGGTGTCGAGCGCATCCTCAATCTTGCTGGTATAGGGACGAATCTGCTCGAGAAAGCCCTCGCCCTGCTGAGGATCAGCAGCCTGGGATCCGCCGTAGGGCGCGGGGCCACCGAGGCCGTAGCCAGAGTTGAATCGGTTGGACATTGCTGTAGAGTTGACGTTCGGTTTCGAAGGAAGCTTGTTTCACGTGCAGACCTGCTGACTGGATGATGGTGAAGTTGAAGAAACACGACAATGTTGAGGAGCGCGGTCGTGAAGTGGAGGAGAAAAGAGTAAAGTCAAGCAGCTGAGCTGGTTGGTGAAGCTTTCGGGAGTTTGAACCGAAAGGAGAGGGCGTTTGTTTGATTGGACTCGACCAAAAGACGATAATGGTAGCAAACGGTGATTGAGAAGCTCTCTACAAACAACCTTGACAAGAGGAGGAGTAAAAAAGAATGAGGATAAAATAAAGAGGGCAAGGAGAGACAGACGAGAACGAGGCGTCGAGGCGAGCTGTCCTTTGTGATTCAATTGGAGACGATGACCTCAGACGAGTAAAGAAAAGGATCTACCTGGTAGGTAGTAACAGAGTCTGAGAGGCCCTGATTGTACAACGGTGTCCTTTAGAGATCCCGTGATGGAGCTTTGTGTCGTCCCACTTTTTAGCTCTCCCACCTTCCCCCTGCTTTTCCCAGGTATTTGCGCCGGGGCTTTGTTAGGTGCTGATACCTGTAGCTACTGCCGAATAGAGGGGGATTTACATGTTCAGGGTACCTTATTCTACCTGGAGCTCTAGTATCTGCTTAACAACTTACCTACTCTCTGTCCCGAGTCTCTACCTCACATCAAGCCGAGGCCACTCAGATCAGCAAAGACAAGATAGGTAGGTCGGTAACTAGGTACGTGGTAATACGGGCTGAACCTCTAACAAGGGCCCCAGACATCCCTCCCTCTCATCACCACTTGGGTTAGGGCCGGGAACTAGATGATCCAAGAATGGAAACTCTTGCAATAAACACTACCTCAGTGGCGCAGACCATTGCATTCGCTTCCTTCTCACGACGACTAGGGCCTGATGGACTAGGACTCTAAGTTTGTCTCTTTTTGGAACTATCATACTATCTTCGACTATATTTCAGACAAGTCTATCGTATTTGCTCGTACAGTGAATTCTCATGAAGTATAAACCAGTACGCTTCTTGCTTCGCAATAGCTGCTCTCTAAACTGTCGACTCTATCACAACGACGGATCGATTGGACCGTCGTTCAGCTTCAACCCGCCTCTATCATCGTACTCAACTCTTCCCTCGTTGACAGCATTTCGCATCTCTTCTCTCAACACAGTACGATCACCTGTAATTGGATCCCACTCCCAGCCCTCTTTCATCCATATCCATCTCAGATATGCTCTGAGTTCCTTGTCATCTGGTCTTACTCTCATCCATTCGGGTTGGAACTCAGGCTCTCTACCCTTTCCCTTCCAGTCTTCTGCTCGGCCGAGTAACTCGTCTCGACAAAAGATGCGCCAGCTGTCTATGGCATACTTTCCTTGTGTGAGGTGTCCAATCTCCCAGGCTTCCAGGTCTTGATTGTCGCCTTTATCTTGGGACGATGCATAGTCTCCAAAAACTGATGGAAAGTCAACATCTCTACAATCGTACTTCTTCACTCTGCACAGCTTCCCAGCAGCTGGCGGATCATCCAAGAATCCTCGAGCATATTTTTGTATCAAAGCGACACGGTGGTTCGCAAGTCCCAGGTGACGTATCATTTCAATAATTGGCTTGGTGTTCAACTCACAGGCGATATCAGCTAGAGCGGGAAATCGCTCTTTGAATTTATAGAACAGAGGAACAGCGTGTATACCCTTCGTTTTTATAAGGAACGACACAGCAATGAGTAGCCAGAATGGCTCATGTGCGACTTTCTCCTGAATAAGACCAAAGTCTGGCGACGTGAGGGGCGCGAAAGGGACCGAAGGCACTGTTCCCGGCGGCGGTCGCTTTTGCACCACTAACGTCGTTAGAGTAGAAGCCGAGGCGTCTGTGAAGTAGGGTGAGATGACACTGTTGTGCTTGACGCTTGGAGTGTTATCCTTATCGCCCATAATGATATCTTGCGGGGAACCCTGCTCGACAACGAGACCACCAAGACTTGAGCCTTGAAAAGCATTATTTTGTGCTTCTAAAGAGGTATGTATTTGTGATAATCCAAAAGTCGAATAGGGTGGAGCACTCCACTTGCGGCTCACATTTGGAACCTTCTTCTGAGGTTGATCAGACCAGTAAGGTGAAATCTTGGAGAGATTCCTTGTGTTTGAGAAAGTTTCCGGGCTAGGCCGCTGTAAGAGCCGTTGCTTGTCGGTATTTCCGAATATTTCTGGTGGTTGGATTTCGGGGGCGTCTTCAAGCTCTTTTGCTCGGGCAATAAGCCTATCGGTCATAATCCATGAGTCCGAATCTGAGCCCGAGTCTGGCGGAGGAACCCGTCCGTCCAGCGCATGCCGTACATATGCGAGCACATCTTGCGCTTCTGTGCTGTATCTGTCGTATGGGCAAGTTTGTCGCATTAAGATGGCACATTCAATAAGATAATTCCAATCTTGAGCGCCTGCTAACAAACTTTCCCGGCGAAGCTTCTCAAACTCGGCTGTTGCTTGGCTCCGGCTGAATTCGATGACGTCGGCGAGGAAATCATGGTCGCTTGAAGCGACATCAAATACGGAGAGAACGTCGTGGGCGAAGCGCGACATTGTGGAGACGCTCGTGCCGATCAGACTGTGCCTCGTGAGCCCATGAGATAGGTATCTTGTACTCGAGTAAAAGCCGTTGTCTGATGGTGAAAAATACAGAACAATGTGGTTGAGAATATCAATATCGTGATGATGATAACAAGTTACAGAAGGAAACAAAGCTGGCCAAGCTCAAGTTGGTAAAGCTCATGTTGAAGTTGAGATTCACGCTTTCACTTCACGGTAGTAATCTGCCTAGAGTGATAGGCATAGAAAAACCACCTATCCGTACCTACCCCTGCGGATTCTTCAGTGGTGAACTGAGACCTATCTCGCTTGGATACTGGTAGACCTGGTGCTACAGTGTATCAACTGTCTACAATATCTGTTGCTTCGCTTCTTTCTAACGACTCATTGTGAGTCTTTGCCCGCAATCGCCGAGTCAGTATTGACGGATGAACCGGGGTTGTTGTGGAGAACGACTAATGGGTCCCTACGAGAAATAAAATTGACGGACGGCTGAACCGAGATTTAGAGGATGAAGCGTTGTGAGAACAACAAAAAGTTCATGATTAATTGGCGGCGAACGAAGGAGAAGGAAATGCAAAGCTCACGTCTATCCCGCTCTCTCTAGTATTTCCTAGCTAAAACTAGATACCTAGAAGATGAATTGAGCCTTATTAGGTACCAGTATTTATGCGATTGTGCTTTAGTTAACCTGGACCCTTTGTTGACTGACGTTTTTGTTGATTTGATCCCTGAAAAATCACCCTCCACGTGTCCGAGTGACCAGGTTGTATGCTACTGCAGTGATACCTGAAGCACGCGAAGGCGCTAGAAGCCAACCTCTGCAGGGCCTATTCTTCACGTCTACCCACCGTGTAAAGGCCTCGGCTTGAAAGTGCCGTCAGTTTCTCTATCAGCGGGTACGCGACTCCACGGCTCGTGGTGCACTTGCATGGTGCCTAGTCTTATCTGCCTTGGCTTGCTTGACCACAGTAAGCCTCATATCGCCCCAGGCTGCTCTGTAGTCTGTACTCTTCAGCCTGACTTGAGTGTATACAGATGCGGTGACGGGATAAAGGCGTCTGGTTGGTTGCATTATGGAGAGAGAAACAGGATGTATCTGGTAGCAAATACGCAAACGCGCAAAGACGAATGATGGTAGCGAGTTATATACAAACAACAATCATCTTCAATTCAATCAATAATCATATCTCTTCACTCACCATTAGCGAACGTTAATACAGTGCAACGTTTGTCAAGTGACGCTGTCCGTCCATCCGCCTTAGATCACGCCAACTTCCGCTGACCAATCGTATCCTTGCTCCGCCCGAGATGTGGTCCGACTACAAGGTCACGTGCATAGATCTCGCCTTCCAGGTCGTTGCCGTCCTCCCGTCTCCGCTCCGCTCAATTCTATCTCTCTCTCCGTCCCGTAATACCGCCCACCGCGCCCTCTCCGTTCCTACAGAACCAATATCATCAACATCGAACATCATCCAAGAGATGAGTAGTCGCGGTGGTAAATTAGCCCCAGAAGTCAATCGGTAAGTCGCTGCCACTTGCACGCACCCACTCGTACTGTACTTGTACTCTATGCCTAGTACAAACAACCGCGAATCAATTTCAAAGTCTTGCGCCCTATTCGTAACTGGTCGCATTTCCTGGTCTAGATTGGCCTTTGAGGACACATGTATCAAAACATTTTGCTAACTTTTCTGTAGAGCTCTGTTCGTAAAGAACTTGAGGTATGCCAGGATCAGCCGTCGAGATTTGCGCCCGGTTTCAGACTAATCGATATCGACAGTTACAACGTCACTCCAGAAGAGTTGTTCGATCTCTTTGGAAAATTCGGCCCCATTCGGTATGCACCTGCCCCGACACTCGACGATATCTCAGCGAGGACGATATTTGCACATCATCTCGAGATGCGCTTGACGAATTTTATACTGACGGTCTGTGCAGCCAAGTTCGACAGGGTATCGCCAACAACACCAAGGGAACTGCATTCGTTGTCTATGAAGACGTAGCCGACGCGAAGCAGGCCTGCGACAAGCTCAACGGCTTCAACTTCCAAAACCGATACCTCGTTGGTATGTCGTCCCTGATTGTTCCTGCCGATGCTGTTACATCACATCATCAGGTGACAAAACGCCGTGTTGCATCTGCATTTGTACTAACCCGATTCTCCAGTTCTATACCACCAGCCCGACAAGATGGCCAAGTCAAAAGAGGACCTCGAAGCTCGCCGCGAATCTTTAGCTCAGCTCAAGACCCAGCATGGTATCGATTGACAATCCGACCGGTCTGTGGATAGCCTGCCTAGGAAGTCGACTTCCTCGTCTGCAGGCCGGTCTTCGTCTTCTTCTAAATCTCCGTCACCCGATCCGAAGACGATCCTCCGAAAAGGCAGAGCCCCGATCAAGAGGGT